CAATTTGTTTGACAAAATCACACTCAAAAGTGTGCTCTTAGTTCCTCGTTTGAATTGTAACTTGATTTCGGTGTCACAATTAAATGATGATATGAGATGTATTACTCAATTTGATTCTCATATGTGTGTTATACAGGACCGGTCGAGGAAGCTGATTGGAGTGGGTGTTAGATGGGACGGATTGTACTACTTTGGGAAAGGATAATCTATTCATCGTGTTGCGGTCAATGGAGCTTCATCAATATTGGAATTGTGGCACAAATAAATGGGGCATCCTTCAGAAGAAGTGGTGAAATCCCTCCTTCCTACTAGTGATATAAGGGGTAGTTTGAATAAATCCTCTGAAGTGTGCTTTCAGGCTAAACATTCTAGAGATAAATTTTCTTTAAGTAATAATAAAATTAGTCGAATTTTTGAGAAAATACATTGTGATTTGTTGGGTCCTTATAAATACCCTTCTAGTTGTGGAGCGCGATATTTCTTAACCTTAGTAGACGATTACTCTCGGGCTATTTGGATTTATCTTATGGTTGATAAAACTAAAGTTTTTCAAATGTTCATGTCCTTTGTTGCTATGATTGATAGACAATTTTCTAAAAAGATTAATATTGTTCAAAGTGACAATGGAAGTAAATTCAATTGTTTACTTGATTATTTTACTACTAAAGGGATTATTTTTCAAACCTCGTGTGTTGGTACCCCCCAACAAAATGGTCGTGTTGAAAGAAAACACAAACATCTTTTAAATGTTGGTCGTGCCCTAATGTTTCAAGCTCAGTTGCCAGTCACTTTTTGGGGAGAATGTGTGCTCACTGCTTCTCATTTGATCAATCGTACACCGTCTCCTCTATTGGATAATAAAACTCCATTTGAAATTTTATATGGTAACGCTCCGTCCTATTCTACAATAAAAACATTTGGGTGTCTTTGCTTTGCACACAATCAAAAAGCTAAGGGTGATAAATTTGCCAGTCGAAGTCGTAAATTCATGTTTGTGGGATATCCATTTGGTAAGAAAGGGTGGAAGCTATACGATCTTGATACCAAAACATTCTTTGTTTCAAGAGATGTCAAATTTTTTGAAGACATTTTTCCATATGTTGACATTAATATACAAACTCAACCAATCGCACCTACACTAAATGAGTTACCTAATTATTTCTAACCAAAGGACCCAATTTCCAATCAGCCCACTGTTGAGTCACAGCCCAATTCGGAACAATCTTCTCCTGGATAACCAATCCCAAAACACCCTCACAATGCATCATCACTTCCATCCTCTACTGCTGCAACCGAAGATCAACTTGGTAGGGGCCATCGTGAAAACTTTCCATCGGTTCTCCTTCGCGACTTCATCTCTCATACGCGTACTGTCCCGTCTCACTCGCACTCGGCTTCATCAGTTTCCTCAGGTAATCCCTATCCTATAGCTCATTACATTACTTGTGATAATTTTTCTCCCAAATATCAGCATTTTTTAGCCACCATTGTTGCTGGTCATGAACCCCATTCCTTTAAAGAAGCAATGAAATCTGATGTTTGGAAAAAATCAATGCAAGAGGAAATACGAGCACTTCAAGACAATGGTACTTGGACCTTGACCACTTTACCCCCAGGAAAGAAAGCTCTTGGCAGTCAATGGGTCTACAAAATCAAATATCTCTCTACATGTGAAATTGAGAGGTATATATCACGACTGGTAATGTTTGGGAATCATCAAAAGGCAGGAATCGATTATAATGAGACATTTGCACCTGTGGCTAAAATGACCACGTGCGCGTGTTTCTTGCTGTAGCAGCCGCCAAAAACTTGGAGCTACATCAAATGGATGTCCATAACGCTTTCTTACACGGTGATTTGACTGAAGAGGTATACATGCGACTTCCACCTGGATTCCGATGTTCTAACCCTAATCTTGTGTGTCGATTACGTAAGTCTCTTTGTGGGCTCAAACAAGCTCTGCGCTGCTGGTTTGCTAAACTTGTTCGATCTCTTAAACATTATGGTTTCCGCCAATCATATTTAAATTACTCTTTGTTTACCTACACACGTGGCTATATTCAAATTAATGTCTTGGCTTATGTTGATGATTTAATTATTTCAGGCAATGACTCTAATACCATCATATCTTTCAAAACATATCTTCATAAGTGTTTTCACATGAAATATCTTGGAGCGTTGAAGTATTTCTTGGGAATTGAAGTGGCAAGAAGCCCTAAAGGGTTATTTCTTTGTCAACGCAAGTACACACTTGATATCATAAAAGAAGCTGGTGTAATGGGTGCCAAACCCGCTGGATTCCCGATGGAACAAAATCACAAACTTGGGCTTCCTGGTGGAGCATTGTTATCTGATCCAGAAGCCTATCGTCGGTTGGTGGGAAGACTTATTTATTTAGCTGTTACACGGCCTGATCTTGGTTATTCGGTTCATATACTTTCCCAGTTTATGCAAGTTCCCCGTACAGAACATTGGAAAGCGGCACGTCGTGTGGTTAAGTATCTCAAAGGAACTCCAGGACGTGACATACTCTTAAGTTCTGATAGTAAACTAGTTTTAGAAGGATGGTGTGACTCCGATTGGGCTGCTTGTCCTATTACTCGTCGTTCTTTGACTGGATGGATTGTCTATCTTGGGTACTCGCCTATAGCGTGGAAAACTAAGATGCAACATACTGTTTCACGCTCTTCCGTAGAAACCGAGTATCGATCTATGGCAGCTATTACATGTGAATTTAAATGGCTTAAAAGTCTTCTCTTAAGTTTGGGAGTTTGACATTCTCAACCTATTAAGCTTCATTGTGATAATCAAGTTGCTTTACATTTGGCAGACAATCCTGTCTTTTATGAACGAACAAAACATATTGAAGTCGATTGTCATTTTGTGCGTGATGCGATTACTGATGGACTGGTGTCTCCTACGTATGTGCATACTTCGGAACAACTGGCGGATGTTATAACCAAGGCTCTTGGAAAAACATAGTTTGATCGCATTATTGACAAGTTGGGCATTTTTGATCCCCATGCTCGAACCTGAGGGGGGGTGTTGGAGTTATCCCGAATTGGGGTTATCCAGAATTGGGTGTTATATGATAGATAAATGTATGTTAAATGTTTAGATTAGTCTTATCTTATTAGTTTGTTTTGGTTTCTGATAAGGACTCACAGATGTGTATATATACATATATAGCGTTTAATAAAGAGATCAGATTTTGAGTCTTCAATCTTCTCCTGTGTCAATTGTTTCACATACTTACCCCTATATCTTTGATCTTTCCATCATATCAACTTTAATTTGAGCCGAAATATCTTCATCTTCCGCGTCAACAGAAAAGGTTAACTCTAAAATCTCTCTTATGTAATAAGTGAGGATTATATGTCTAACAATATTTGGAATAAATTCTTTTTTCTTGAATGATGAAAGTTGTAATTATTGATCACACTTAAGCACTTTATCCGTGTATTCAACAGCACCACCACAATAAACGTCACTGAATGAATGATGTAAAATCTCAATAACCAGTGTGAAAGTACGATGGTGTGTTTTGTGTACCCCCACATGAAAACATTTTCCATAAATCCCTATTTTAATAAAAGAATAGGTTTAATCTCATATTGACAAGTGTCATGCAATTAGAACCCTTCATTAATGTTATATATCATTTATCATACCACTTATCAACCTATTAATTATTCATTTCAAATTTCAAATTTTAAATTTGTCACTCTAATTTTATTAAAGAGTAAATTACACGAATGGTCCCTATGGTTTGGGGTAATTTGCGTGCTTGGTCCCTAACTTATTTTTTTAACTCGGAAGGTCCCTATGGTTTGTTTTTGTTACACATTTGGTCCCTAATGTTTATTTTTGTTACGCGTTTGGTCCCTATCTTATCTAAAAAGACTATTATTTAAAGAGGAAAAAATGATGGGGTAGGTGAGGTAAGGTGATGGGGTAGGATTAGGGGTGTGTTTATTTAGATAAATTAAAAAAATCAAGGGCATAATAGTCTTTTTATGTAAGATAGGGACCAACCGCGTAACAAAAACAAACAGTAGGGACCTTCCGAGTTAAAAAAATAAGTTAGGGACCAAACGCGCAAATTACCCTAAACCATAGGGACCATTCGTGTAATTTACTCTTTATTAAATTAATAATTGATTCTTCATTTTAAATTTCAAATTTTAAAATTTCTTCCTTTAATTATATTAAATTAATAACATTAAATTAAAAAATAAAATAAAATTAATATAAATTATAAAATGATATAACTCCACGTATTTATTTAAATCAACGATTATAATTTTATATAACTAAAAAAATATCTTTTAAGTAATAATTTATTTAAAATAATCGATTAATAATTTTGATTTTTTAATAAAAAAGCTTAATTAATTTTATAACCGTGGTTATCACGGGTTATAAAAAACTAGTAAATAATAAACTCAGAGAATTTGATTTTCAAGAATTATATGGTTATTTTATAATAATTTTGAAAAGCGCAGCTAATGCGCATATATTTGGCCATTTTTGTAATTATCTCGTAACATACTCATGTTCTTTTTTTAAAAGATTGTAAGCTTTTGAATACAATTTGCTCTCGTTTGACCGATCTATATATATCACTAGTTTGTTTAAGCTCTATAAATGAATCTGTCTGAAAACATTTTTTGTGAGGTCGATTATCAAAAAGGTTTCTTGTCCGATGAAGTAATCTCTTGTTGCTAGCTTCACATATATAAAACTGATACAAGGGATAACAAATAATAAAGAAAAAAAACAAAATCAATGCACCCTTGCTGTCCTCTTATTTTGCATTGGGAAAAGCCATGAACTTTGTTCTCATTCTCTTATGTACGTAAAAAACAAGGTACATCAGTATTCAGTAAAGTTCAAAATATATTATTAAAATCCGATGTATATGTATGTATAATGTACTAATTAAATGATAAACGTGATAAATTAATTAACTATTACTAGAATGAAATGAATAGGGCACCTCAAAAGGCTACAATCGAGAGAACTTGCAAGCTTTGGTCATAATCTTCAAACGGCATCGACCGGCCAACATTCGGCAACCTTTCCTGCACTAATCGGATAACTCGCTCCCATCTTGTCCTATTTCCATCAAATCCATGATCAGCTCTAGATCTACCAGCAGCTTGAAAACCGATTATCTGGTTCAACTGAAACACAAAAAGCCTCGACTCTTGTGCCACAGACATGATAAGATTTTGAAAAGGTCTCAAACTCAATACTACTTTTAGAAAGAATGGCCATGCCAAGATGGCTACAAATGGTGCACCATGGAGCTTAGAAACCCCTAGGAGTTTCACCTTCGCCAGAGCCACTAGGTGCAACCCCATGTCTTCACTCAAATAAAGCTGCACAGGAAGAGAAAGAGAACGGATTAACTATTGTGTTGAGAAAATCGCGTGCGTGGGTATGTGTGTGTGTATCTATATGCAAGTTTAGATAGAAGTTATAGAGATTCGATTCAGTTAATTTTTAGTGTTTTGGTGTGTGTGAGAGGACAAAGAAGATAATTCATAGGGTGATGTGGGGTAAGATAATTGGAGTTATTAATGCAACATGGGATGTAATGACGTTAAAAAAAGTACAACATTGGAATTAAAAGACAATGGATTGCCGTGAAAAACAAAGTAAGATAATGTTGTTTATGGCTTGACGATGACTTATCACTATATACCCAGATTGGCCTTGGCCTACCTCCATTTTATATCGTACAAGGCACATATATATAGAATTGTAAAGATATTATGATTTATGATTATGTGTACGCTTTACTTTTGCCATTTTAACCAGCGGGTGGATCGGGGGTTGGACAACAGTCTCGAACTATTACGATTTTAATCACCCACTTGAGTTGGCTAACACGTATTACACTTGAATCCACGAGATGCATGATCGTTTTTTGTAATTAGATTACGCATTCTGGAATAAAGGAATTGAAAGACTACACTTTTATAGAAACAATATTTGTAAAAAATAAGAATTGGTTAAAAACTAAATCCAAGATAGTTCACAACAGTGTTGTAAAAATATCGACTAGGCTTCAATTAACCAATTAGAAAGTATCTAAGTCGTTATCTAACCAATTAGAAAGTATCTAACGATTAATCACCACCTAGACAATGACTATAACTATAGAAATCGGTGAATTTTTAATACTTTGAAGAAACTTTTTTAATAGAAACTCTTTGAGAAGTGATAGTATTATGTTAATGATTTTAATTTATTTTGTTATGATATTAACACTTTTTATAAATATTGTTATGATATTACTATATTAGGCATATTTTTTTAAAAAAAATTAATGAATTTACAATAAGGTCTTCGACTAGTCGTCGACTAATCTCCGACTAGACCGACTAATCTTTAGTTGCTAGTCAACTAACTTGGTACCGCCTAACGATTTTTACATTCTTGGTTGAAATTTGTTTTTGATACAATATCCTGAAATTTAAAGGGTGTTTGGGATTAATTATTTAATTCTAAAAGTGACTTTAGGCAAAAAAAAAAATGTTTATTGATTTGTGTTGATAGGTTTTGGTTTTGTTTTTGGGTTTTGGTTTTGCGAGGCTTGTAACTCACTCAATTTTTAACCAAACTAAGCGTTTTTATAGTCTAAACTCAACTACAATCCTAATCTACATGTAGGAAAAAGATTCAGGTCAAAACAAGTTAAATTGAATGAGTTATGCACAATTGAACAACAAAATCACATCACGTTTTATTGCTGTTAGGAAAAAAAAAATCAGATTTGACACCCTTCCTTGCGGGGCTTGTAACTCATTCAATTTTTAACCAAATCAAGCGTTTTTATAGTCTAAAATCAACTACAAATCCTAATCTACATGTAGGAAAAAGATTCAGGTCAAAAAAAAGTTAAATTGAATGAGTTATGCACAATTGAACAACAAAATCAGATCACGTTTTATTGCTGTTAGAAAAAAAAAATCATATTTAACACCCTTCTTTGCGGGGCTTGTAACTCATTCAATTTTTAACCAAATTAAGCGTTTTTATAGTCTAAACTCAACTACAAATTCTAATCTACATGTAGAAAAAAGATTCAGGTCAAAACAAGTTAAATTGAATGACTTATCAACAATTCAAAATTTGGACAGATTGCTAAAAAAGTAAATATTGCTAATGAGTTAAATGCTAATCTTACTTGATCATCAAAGTCTTTTCCAATCCAATTAGCCGGATTACCATCTTCAATATTGGCATCATGAACATCCAAGTTTCGGTATCTTGATGATGGTACATTTGGTAACCCATCTAAATCCTACATTGTCAATTTTACACATTAATTATATAACAAAAGTACTAAACAAATTTATAGTTTTGACAATCTTACATAATTACATTCATACTATAAACAATAAACTAATCTAACAAAAATCTTGCATGTATGTCTACAAAGTACATTGTTAAATGGAGCTTAAAACATGAAACATATATTATATGTACAACCTTTCATCCGTAAAGGAGTACTCCACTATGAGAGTATGATCAAAAATCAAGATCTTTTAATTAACTAGGGATAACAATGCATATATTTGGAATGGATACAACAAAAGCAAAGAAAAAAAGCTTGCATGCATGCCATTATTTGGAGAATCATTGAAGCATTGAAACAAATATTGAAATATATAATCTTAAAACATGAAATATAAATATATGCTCTTACTTGATCTTCATGGACATCCATAGTTTGAATCATTGAAGATGAAAATCAATGAAGAATTGAAGGATGATAAAGAATTGAAGATCGGTTTAAAATTGGAGATGGAAACTTGTAATCGATGGAAACTTGGAGATGAAGAATTGATTCAATTGAATGATGATGAATGAAGAGATGTCGATTGCCAATTGATGAAGATGATAGCGAGTAGGGTTCGGCAGTGGGGGAGTTGCGATCGTGGCCGACTCGATTGCGTGTTTTTTTTTTTTGTGTTACGTGAAGATAGCGACTTGCGGCATTGCGACTAGAAGATTGCCGCATGCGTGTACAAAGAAGCTGCGAGATGCGACAGTATGGATATGGGGTTTTAAGTCGGGCCGGTTCCCGGTTTTGGGCCGGTTCCAATAGCCGGTTCTTTCCGGGTCCCGGTTCCAAATAATCACAAATTTATGGTATAGGTCCCGGCCCGACCGGTTCCATCGGGTGCCGGTTCCGGGACCGGTTCCGGCCGGTTCCCCGATCCTTTTGCTCATCCCTAATAATATATATTCACAAGTGAGTACATATTGATATGTTGTTATATTTACATATGAATATAGAAAAACATATATATATATATATATATATATATATATATATATATGTAGAGAGAGAGGTTCAAATGTTCTAACTAATTATTGTGTCGATATATGATTAATTGTGAACCAATAAATTTTTAAAAAATATTAAATAATTAATAAATTGTTTAAAGGGTGTAACAATAATATTTAATTTTTTAATTTTAGTAAATTTTGAAAACATTTAATATCCCCTTTTAATTAGGGATTTTATTTTAAAACCCTATAATACATCAACATCGGCCCACTCGCTGACTCATCCCTCACAATCATCTCAGTACATCCACTAATCCCTATCATCGGTCGATTCCCGAATCCAATGCTCAAATGATCGATATTGCCACCACTCCATCACTAGCAAGTCACCGCCTCCACCAGCAGGTCATCTATTCTCGATTTTTACTCCACCATTAACCCCAGAATTGTTGGTCTCGGTTGTATACTCCATGTTGTAGCAAGGTTCCTTCTGCTTCATAACCATGCCAACATCGTCCAGAAAGAGGGCAAGAAGGGAATTTGAATGTGACACACTGTTTGGTGTCCATGCTCAAAGTCCTCATTCTGTGAAGGTGTCTTTTTCAATAAGTGGATTCCAACTCCTTTAGAAGCCCTAGCATCAATGATTCCCCATGTGAAGATGTGCATTCAGATGTTGAGCTTTTAGCTGGGACTTCAAAGGAGTTACATATGGAAAGTTTTAACATTTATTCATTTGATAATAAGTATGAACAAATACATGTAGATGACAAACTTCTTTTAAAGATTCAAAGCATTGGTCTATATATCCTGAGTTAGTGGTAGGCTCACTATCCCTTGATTCATAATTTGTAAAAAAAATGCCATTTTTTCTACTAATGACACAGCCTAACTTGGATGACAAAGAAGATGAAGCAATCAAACATGAAATTAACCAGCTGAAGATAAGACTCAGACAACAGGTTAATTTTGTGTTACATTTGACCTAATATGATTTCAAGTTTTTGATGTGGTTTTATTTATTTATTTATTATATAGAATGGTAAAAAGAAGGCATGCTTGTAGAAAGTATGTAAAGGCGTCGGAGGTAGCTTTGTAGGGAGGTAAGAAGTTTATATATTTTTATATCTTAAAAGTCAAATTAGGCCAGAAGTTTAAAAGGTTAAAACATCATCTTATTGTTAATTGTTAATTGTTATGCAAAGATCTTGAGCAGGTTGCAATTAATAGATTGGTGGAGCTTGCTCACAGGAAACTTCTGGTAACTTCTTACTATTTAAGAAAAAATACTCCAGTTCTTAATCCTACTTTTTTGTAAATATTTAACCAAATTTTGTTGCATATATAAAAAAGGCTACTAGAGGAGCTTCAAGAATTGGGATTCCCAAAGTCCCAAAGTAAGTTGCATTGGCATTTGGAAGGAGGACACTTGCCAGATATCGTAAATTTGCAAAATCAGGTATAAGTTGCTTTAATGTTCCTACATTGTGAGATGTCCTTTTTGACCCTCGAGACCACGAGTTGGAGCCTATAGTTTCTGTAGCGACCACCACCACTATCACCATGAATATCAGATTCCAAAACCCTCATCAAGATTCAAGGCTATCATCTGGTACAAAATCCCTACTAATCCTTTTCATAGTAATCCATTAAATGTTAATTAATTAATTAATTTATTTCGATTATGATCAGATGAGGCATTTGCTATAAACCGGCCGATATCAAACAGAGGGAAGAAGAAGGAACTTTTGTTGGACGATGTTGGCACGGTTATGGGAGGGAAGAGATGCGATAAAAAGTAAGGATTTTGTGGGAGAAGGTGACTTGGAGATTTATCCAAACTTGTCGAAGAGAAACCATGGAGGTATATTTTATTTTTTTATTCAAATGCGTGTTCTAAATTTCCATTTTTCATTCATATGGAATAATGGTGAGGGTAATTTTGCCAGAACTGAATCTTGAATTTCAATTATGTCGGAATAGAATCTCGAATTCCAATTCTATCGGAATTGAATCTCGATATTTTCTTCGTGATTTGTGCATTTTCTACAATGTTGGCACTGAGTTTTGGTGCAATTCACACGTATGCAAATTTATACAGAAGACTTTAGTTTTTTCTTTTTCATTTGGTAATGAACTGTTCTTTCAGAATGGCTTGAAGAAGGAATCAATGATTGATCATACAGTAGGAAGACTTGGAATTGAGCTCAATAACAAGTTACATTGAAGAGCATTAAATGTGATTATTTGGTCCACTGAAGAAGATTAAGTGTATTTTTTCAATAATTGTATATTTGAGAATGCTATTCTTAAGAATTTTATGTATTTTGATGATATTCGGTTAGAATATGTACAATTAAATTAAAATGTATTGGTGTGTAAGAATATTTATGAATTTGTATTTATGTTCCGTTGTGTATAAATGTATTAGAATGTTGTTGGTATTCAATTTCATGTTCAATAATTTTTTTATTCCTTATTACTATTCTAATAGAAAAATAGTCTAACAAAACAATATCGTAGAACATTCATTCTGACGGAATAATATTCTGACAGAATTAAAATTAAATTAATTAAAAAAATATGAATTCAAATTAAGATAATAAAAAATCTCTTAAAATCTGAAAAATTCCTTTTTAAATTTGTGTTTCCTAACTTGAATGTAATGAAAATGTACATTTTACCCTTCTTTTAATTAAATGATATTATTCTATTTTTTTAATTTAATAATAGGAATAAATGTCTTTCTTAAATTAACCAAAATGATTGGTTCACAATCATTCCTATATCCATATAATAGTTAGTTAGAATATAATAACCAAAGTCTCTCTCTCTCTCTCTCTCTCTCTCTATATATATATATATATATATATATATATATATATATATATATTCAACATCAAAACATATATATTCAAATGAAATAAGTATTTTATATATTTATATATGATTTTGAGAACATATTCATTGACATGTAGATAAATAATTACTTCTATACTCATATATCACTAGAATAACATGTGAATTTACATATATAACTAGAATAACATGTGAATCCTCAAATATTTTATATATTCATATTTAATTTTGACAATATATATATATATAATATATATATATATATATATATATATAAACACATACACATATCAATATGCATTCACCACAAGAACATGTATATTTACATGTAAATAATTATGGATTTTCATTTATTAAACAACAAAATTCAATGTTTATTCAAATGTAAATAAATATAGATTTACTTCTGTGAATACAATAAAATATTGATTTTTTACCTAAGTATGATTAAAATATTATTTACCTGGAACACTTTAATTTTGGTTCTAGTGACTTGAAATGTCATCATATTCATCATAATCTTCAAATGTAGATGAAAAAACATTATTATCATCTTGAATATGTAATGGAAATTACATTATCACTTACAAACAACATCATTAACATCTATATAAATAATTACTTCTATATTCCATATGTGATTTTGATAATATATATATATATATATATATATATATATATATATATGTAACACCGTGATTTTCAAGGCAAAATTTTCATTTAAATAATCAATTTAATATTAAAACACTTGTTTAAAATCTCATTCATAAATGAATTACAAAACATAGCTCCATTTTCAGTTGATTAGAAAACCAGGATCCTCCAAATACAACTCTTTCTTTGGTGTGTACAATCGAGCCGGTGTCATCCCGTGTTACTGAAAGAACCTGAAACAACATAACATAAAACACTGTAAGCACGAAACTTAGTGAGTTCCCCAATATACACCTTACGCACATACGCCTTTCCAGGCCCTGACCTTCCGGTCCACTGCACAATGCCTTCCGGCCCATGAGATAATCGCCTTCCGGCCCATAACGTGTTGCCTTCCGGCCCATAATACATTGCCTTCCGGCCCATAACATATTGCCTTCCGGCCCAGATAAACACACACAGCACGCATAACCAACAACTTACCACATATAGCATCTATTTCACATAACACACCCGACCTTCCGGTCACATAGCATATGCCTTCCGGCCCATAGCATATTGCCTTCCGGCCCATAAACATACACAGTACATAATACATTTAACTTATCACATATAACACATATATCATAGATCATATCCGACCTTACGGTCACATAACATATTGCCTTCCGGCCCATATAAACATACATAGTACGCATAGCAAATTACCTTACCATTTATGGCACGTATAACACATATCAAATCCGACCTTCCGGTCACACAGTCAAACCCTTCCGGGTACAGTATAGTGAGAAGACTCACCTCGTGGATACTGAAAGCTAGCCACTCCTGAAATCCCTCGTACTCGATCCGCCGAGCTACAGACTCCCTGTAATATCATACGTCCCTTATTAACACTTTTATCCCAAGAAATCACACATA